CAAATGTATGTAGGGCGACTTACATATCCGATTTTCATTAGCGAAGTTCAGAATCTGGCAACGTAAATTCTTTGTGACCAACACTTTCATTTTTCTGTTGTGAAATCAACAAGCTTGTGGGTGTAAACGGAAGGGGAGAAACTATCTTCCTTTATTTTTGAAAATTTAGCTACATAGTGTGACATCTAATCATGGGTAAATCTCGAGTAGACTTTGTTCGATGTGAAGCTGGGAATGACAATGATAATCTACCTAAGACCAAGTAATTTAATCACTCCATGTCGTCAAGTAAGGCTAGCATCTATGGAAACCAAACTTTTAACTATTTTGAAGATTGTTAAACAATACTTACCGATAATTACAGTATCAAAACCAATCGGTCTGTCATGACATATATTCTTTTGGTCATACTTACTTTGATTTGATGAAACATACGTCCGTAAGAATTAATGTTCAAAACACAACCTTGTAGACCATGTTAATGTCCAAGGCACCTTATATTATATTTCAAGGGATGTATTAATTTGTATTTTTGTTTCAGTAGTTGGCTAAGTAACCATGACACTGACTGGGTAGAGCGTATCAATTTATTAAATTACCTATGACGAAACAAGTACTCCATACATCATTTATCAGTCGACATTATCATTTCAAATGTCTAATGTAACCATCCTTAATACTCACCCCACACATGCATGTAACATGTTAGTGTACTCAATCATGCATAAAATAATGCCGAGTGGATCTCGTAAATCATGTACGCATTCTCCAATGTCTCTTGAGATCTGCATTTGATCGGCCACCATGTGGACACAGTAGCCATCTAGGTCTAGTATAAACTAGTAGTCTAGTACTAGGAATTTTGTAAAGGTTTGCACAAGAATCTCCCCGTACAACAGAGCACAGATTATTATAGCTACATCATTAATACGCTCTTTGTTATATAGCTATATCATACGGAAGATTCGTACGGGGCGTAGTACCCCCTCCGTTCTATAATATAGTGCGTCCGCGCTTTTCAAGATTCAAGTTTGACCTTAAATTTAACCAACGAGACCGACTGTGGCGGGAGGAAAAAATTATATCATTGAATTCATATCGGAAATACGAATTCAGTGGGATAATTTTTGCTCCCGTCGCAGTCGGTTTCGATAGTTAAATATATGGTCAAACTTGAATCTCAGGAAGCGCGGGCGCACTACATTATGAAATGGAGAGAGTAGCATATTTGGAGTTGGACAACTTTTGACTCCTGGACGAGGTAGCAGGTAGCTGATAGGGACTTAAGGCCTGCTTCTGGCACCGATCAAATTTTATCAATTTGTTTGAGACTATGCATGGCCTCCTCCCCTGCCACTATCCTGGTACAACATGCAGTGTCTAAAGGTTGATGGTTTGCATTAGTTTTGGAGTAGCATGTTAGGAATTATTTGTTAACAGGTCATTGCTAGCCGCCTGTCGGCCGGGCCAAATTTGGGCCGGTCACCGCATAGGCGTTGGATGCATGCATGTATGGCCGTTGGATTGGGGCTTCTCATGTCGTTTTATCTCTCAGAAAAAATCCAATGATGCCAGCGGGAAAAGAGAGCGGTGATCCGTCGGCACCCACCATGGACAAGCGAACGCGCAACCTCCAAGCACTGCCTCCAATGCCGCCGGTTCGCCGCCCGCGACACCAGTCACCGCCCTCGCCGGCGATCACTGCCTGCCATGCGTTTCTTGTTGGCTCCACGCATGCAACACCGAGGGCCCACATGTTGCAGTCAATATGGTGATGGTCACAACTCCGGTTAACGACGGGACGCAGCTCTAGTGGTGCCGGTACCTCCCTAGGTTGCTGATCGCAGCAAAACCACCTGCCGGTCGTAGCAAACGCCGACAACGGTTACAGAAAAAAAAGTCATCATCGTTTGCCGCCGCAGCCCACAGCAACTCGGCTCGCCGGTTCCAGCAAATTTGAGCCCCGGTTCTAGCAAAAGATCTCCTTCGTCGCTGAGCCCATCGCAGTCGTCAAGCTCGGCATTCATGGCCGTAGCCCCCCTCCCACCCCGGGCGCTGTTTGCAGCTCCTCAAGTCCATGACATGTGGTGTAGGCTGCGGGCTAATTGGGGAAGAGAAAAAGGATGGCCTAGGTGGGGCCACCAGCAAGTGCTCTCCAAAAGAATTTCGCGACGCGCAACCAGGCAGCCACAGTGTAGGATCTGCCTACATCCTACAATGCGCGCTCCGCCGCCCAAAGCTTTGGGCGGTCAGCCGTATTTAATCGTTTGCCTTCTTAATATAACTATGGCCGGCCTTGGTGAGCTAGCCCGATGGAAGAGAAGTCAGATTGGGGCACAAGCTAGAGCGAAGAGGTTCTCTTTCTTGTGACTTCATTTGTTTTTGGAGGCACCTAAGAGCATCCAAAGAAAGAAGCTCAGAAGTACAGACATGGTACACTAAAAAAAAAGTATGTTCAAGCATCCAATGTTTTGTGATTCCATCCAGACATTCAATCAATGGTAGACCTTCTGATGTGACGTCGTATGTGCGATACATAAATTGGATTTCTCTGTGACGCATAAGGAGGGAATAATCAACTTCAAACCGACTTTGCGAACTAATCCGTAATTGGATGGTTAGAGAGACACTGGTATCCCATCAGAGTTTGAGTTTTAGACTTAACATTGGTGCTTACATTTTTTGGATTTATTTCAGACTTTTCGGCGATGTCCGTTCAGTGGGAGGAGATGTTCCCGTCCACTACAAGACGCCTCTGTGACACTTCGTCTATTTCAAAATCAAACACCAAGAAAAACTATAGAAATAGTAGCAGCACTTGGGCTATAATTTATCACAGAGGAGATGCTCCCGTCTACTAGAGAAATCATCAGAGAGGACAACAGAAATGATATTTTAGGAATTCTCAAGAAAAAACTATAAAATAGTAGCAGCACTTGGGCTATAAATTACGAGGAAAATCAAACACCAAGCCATCGCACTAGCTTGCTAGAAAGTTTGCTCAATACAATAAACAAGCTAGTTAGCCATGGCTCAAGTTCTTCACAGCCTCCATGAGCATGAAGTCCTTGTGCTCATCGTATGCCCTCTTGTCCTCCTCCTCCTCATCCTTCGGTTTGCCACGTCTACGACAACGACAAGGAGAGCAGACAAGCTGCTCGACAGACTCCCATCACCTCCCTACAAGCTCCCTCTCATCGGCCACCTCCACCTCGTGGGCTCACTGCCCCACATTTCCCTCCGCGGTCTCGCCGAGAAGCATGGCCCCGATGTCATGCTTCTACGCCTTGGCGCCGTCCCCAGCCTCGTTGTGTCGTCCGCTCGTGCAGCCATGGCAGTTCTTCGCACGCACGACCATGCGTTTGCGTCCCGGGTACAGTCCGCCATGACTGACGTCCTCTTCTATGGATCAACTGATATGGCCTTCTCCCCGTACGGGGATCACTGGCGCCAGATAAGAAAGATTGTTGCAACACATCTTCTCAGTTCCAAGAAAGTTGGCTCCTACCGTCTCGCCCGCGAAAAAGAGGTAATTGGTTTCTGAGTAGTAGTTTCTGCAATATGTCACTAAGAACAAGATTTTCTATTAATATAGACAGAAAAAAATTTACATCGTGATAGTATTTTTTGCAAGACAAACTTAGCCTTGTGGTGGTTACTGAGCTCCAAGTAGTGTTGACTTTGTTTTTCGGTATGAAAATTTGCAATTCATGGTATACGTTGACCCCTATTGATCGTCCACTCATCCATGGCTGAATGATCGACAGGTACTACACGCTATGGCGAGGATCCGCGAGGCAGCCGCCAGGAGTGCTGCAGTGGACCTTAGTAAGCTGCTTAGCTCGTTCACCACTGATATTGTTTGCCATGCTGTGTCGGGCAAGTCCTTCAGAGGTGGCGGTCGAAACGAGTTATTCCGCGAGCTGGTAGAGACTAGCTCGATGCTCATAGGTGGGTTCAACCTGGAGGATTACTTCCCCAAGTTGGCAACGCTGGACGTGGTAAGGAGGATGGTGTGTGCTAGGGCGGAGAGAATAAAAAAGAAATGGGATGACTTGCTTGATGAGATCATCAACGACCATGCCAAGAACACGATGTTGGACCATGAAATCAAACAAGGCGGAGAGACAGATTTCATCGATGTGTTGCTCTCCATTCAACAAGAGTACAACCTCACGAGAGAAAACGTCAAGGCCGTGTTGGTGGTATGCATGTCATACTAAATAACCGCATATTTGGATACATATAAATTAAACATGACTGATATACTGACATGTAAAAATGGTGGTCTCTGTTTTTGCAGGACATGTTCATAGGTGGGACGGACACATCATTCATAGTGCTGGATTGTGCAATGGCTGAGCTAATCCAAAATCCAGAGGTGTTGACCAAGCTCCAAGCTGAGGTGAGGAGCATAGCAGAGGGGAAGGAAATGGTTAAAGAAGAGGATCTGAGTGGCATGATCTACCTTAAGGGTGTTATCAAAGAGACGCTCCGGCTACACAGTCCTGTGCCGCTCTTCGTGCCCCACCTCTCCACGTCCGACTGCGACATAGAGGGATACACCATACCATCTGGTACCCGTGTGATCATCAATGGATGGGCTCTAGCAAGGGACCCTGACTACTGGGAGAGCGCAGAGGAGTTTATGCCCGAGCGCTTCATGGAAAATGTTGGAAGCACCATGATTCCTGACTACATGGGAAACAATTTTCATTATTTGCCTTTTGGGACTGGACGAAGGGTGTGCCCAGGTATGAACTTTGGAATGGCCACTGTTGAGATAATGTTGGCAAACCTCATGTTCCACTTCAACTGGGATCTACCTGCAGGGACAGTAAAAATCAATATGACAGAGTCCTTCGGCGTCACAGTGGGTCGCAAGGAAAATCTCATTCTTGTCCCGGCACTTGCGCAAAAACAAGTTTAAACGGGATCATGCTATATTATGTTGGATGTATGCTTGATTACCTACTTTTCAGATTGCAATCACTATTGTTGTATGCATAGATATTTTGCCTTTGTTGTAAGCATTATGGGTTTCAGAGTGCACTATGATATATTGAAATAATGGGTACGGTGTCGGAAAAGGCCGAGGGAAAAAATTGTTTACAATATCCCATCGCTGGCATGCAATTGTCGCTGAGATGGACCTGGAGCTGCTTGTTGTTGCACCAACAACAATCTCTCCAAGTTCCCAGCACAGCGCTGAGCTGTTTTGCATTATTTGTGTGGCTTGCAGGGTACAGTTTTGATTTTTGGAGTTGTAAGTATTTCATGTAATGAGAGCCGAAAAGGACCAAAAACATATTGCTATTTTTTACTTTACTCTTTCACAAAAAATATAATATGAAATAAAATTAAAATTAGGAGTCTAGAACATTGAGGGTTGGATCAGTAGTTTCTATTTGCTATATTGTGCACATCTCAGAAGAATAATATGTAAGTTGCCTGTAATTTATTGGGTACGTCAATTTTTTAACAGTTGATTTTTTTGTCAAGATTTGGGCTGTTTTTTTTTCTTTTGTCAATTTTCATGGCTTCCGGGGCTGAAGATTTCTCTATTGGCCTTGAAGCCCGTTACTCATTCCCTATTTTTTCTATTTGTATTAGTTTTCCTTTTGTTTATGTTTTCTTTTCCATTCGGTTTTCTTCTTCTATGTTGGTATTTTCTGGATGTTGGGTGAGTGTGAATATATACACTGAAGTACAACGCAATATGTATGTAAATTATACTAGTGTAAAAATGCAATATTATATGCTTATTCTTTGCATATTACAAAAGGTATAGTTCCAATGCAAAGTTGTGTGCAAGTTTTGCTTTCTCTTAAAGGGCAATACCAGTGCCCCTAATTCATTGTATTGTAGCCGACAAGGTTACTCAAGCAAGACGGTAGCCCTTTGTATCGTTGTCGAGGTAGCCGAGAGCGTGGGTGGTGGAGCCGTGGTCGAGGTAGCCGTGCGAAGAATGCCATGGTCGATGTCGAGTTGGGGTGGTCGGTGTCGAGGAAGTCGCCGCGGAGCCGCAGGCGCAAGTGGGCGCCAAGTTAGCATGGGCGCAGTGGTGTCGAAGTAGTGGTGCGTCGGGAAGAAGATGTTGTTGACGACGCGCCGCGGCGGGTTTGCCAAGCCCAGGGACACATCGTGGACGAAGGCACGCACCGGTGTTGCAAGCACCGCACATGCGTAGACGGACAAAGACGAAGTTGACGAAGCGCCGCACCAGGCTTGCCAGGCTCAGGGACACGTCGTGGACGAAGGCATGCGACGGTGTTGCCAGCACGGGGCATGCATAAACTGGGACCTGCACGAGGTGTACACCATGTCGAAGAAGCTGGAGAGGCCAGCACAGAAGGACTCAACGACGGTTGCGGCACCAATCAGCGAGGGGCCAATGTCGCCCGCGGTTGTCGGAGTAGATGAAGAGATCGGGGTAGATGACGGCGACGCTGGCGACGGGCTGGTGCTGGACAAAAAAGAAGGGGGTGGACGAGCGGCTGCGGCGGCTACGGGGGTAGTGGCGGTGGCGGACGAAGAAGAGCGGCATCGGCGCCTGACGGCGGCTAGGTTAGGAGCGCGGTGGCGATGCTTGAAGTAGGCGAAGAACCCTATCAGCGTGACGAAGACCGGCATGGACGGTGGCGTTCCTGCGCCAAGAAGACAGCGCGACGCATACCACGGGAAGTTGACGCGCGGGGACGGCGAAGTGGACCACGGGCCGCGGCACTACGGCCCGAAGGGGCAACGTAGCGGCGGCGGGCAGGTCGGGGCGACGGCAGGAAGACCTCGGGGTGGCGGCGGGGATCGCGGGCTGCGGCGCTATGGCCCGAAGGGGCGGTGCAGCGGCGGAGCGCGGGTTGATGCAACCGCGGGGACGGCCTCGGGGCGGCGGCTGGGACCACGTATCGCGACACTACGGCCCGTAGGGGCGACACAGCGGCGACGCATGAGTCGATGCAGCCGCGAGAAGAACAACGGGGCTGTGGCGCTGCGGCCCGACGGGGCGACGCAACGGCAGCCCGTTGCTCGATCGGTGGAGGGGCGCGCTGAACTCGGGGACGATCTTCACGGGACCTGCGGAGGCGCACGTAACTGAAGGTCCAGGTCAATCGCGCGACGTAGATGAGGCGGATCGCGGCGACGAGCGGGTGATCAAGCCGATCGCGCGCGAGGTCAGGGACGCCGCTCGGTGGAGGCGGGGTGGCGGCGGAGTCTGAGATGAGGCCGGCAACGACGGACGGTGTGGGACGTCGTGCGGACGAGCTTGTCAGCACCGGCACCCGGGCTGCCAAAGCAGCGCCGGCACCCGGGCAGTAAGGCCCGAGCGACCAACGGAGCAGCGGCGCCCGAGTTGAGGCAACCGATGAGCCTGACGCAGCCATCCCGACGCAACCGAGGACGAGGCCGGCGAGGTAGACCGCCGGGCCGCCGTGCAGATGCAGCAGAGGCGGGTGCATGCATCGATTGGCGGGCCGACGCGCGAGCGGCGGCTATGATTGGCTGCCGCTTGGCGCGAGGCTGCTGGGTGTAGGCAATGCAGGTGTCCCGATCGGAGCAGGGCGGTGACGGCCGACGCAGGGCAACGAGCAGGCTGGCGCGCGGACGATGACCTTGAGGGTTGCCCGTCGCGCGAGGCCGCCGGGTCGGTGAAGTAGCCGGCCGGTCGCGCCGGTGTCGGAGTAGAGGCGCGGGGTGTCGACGGCGACGGCGGATGACGCAAACCGATCAAGTATAGATCGGAAAACCAAAAAGGAAAACGCGCCGATCAAAGCGACCGATGAGAGAGAGAAAAACCCAAATCAAAGAATCGAAAAAAGACTCTATAGGGCAGCCGGTCAACATGACCGGCGGACGAACCCTAAGTACGGGCGGCGCGGCCCCCGGGGCGGTCATGGAGGCTGACCGCCACGGAGGCGACGCGCGGGTGCGGAAGCGGTGGCTAAGGTTTAGGATCGAGGTAAGGCTGATATCATGTTAGAAGGGAGAGAGGGGGATTGGTGGAATAGTTGATATATTGCTTGAGCCTCGTGGGCATATATATAGGAGTACAATGATTTACATGAAGTACAAAGAAGCCAGAACAAATTCTATTCTCTTCAAATGTTCCTAATAATCACGATACTCAACACCACTAATTCATTCTTTCTTAGGAAACATCTTTTTCCCCGAAAATGCACTACTATATACCTATTCTTGCATAATATAGAAAAGCATGTCTTTTTTGGAAATTGTGTGTAAATTTTGTCAAAAAAAAACATGCTTTATATACTTTATATATTCCCGAAAAATGCTCTATTATATACTACTTGAGGATTGGATCGACCGTCTTCTCGGTGATTTATTGAATGATTATTGCATGGCAATACTGGGGCCGGCGCGCCAGCCGAAAGTTTTGTTCGGTCGCACCTTAGCCGCCAGATGCCACTAGCCCTGGCCGTTGGATATATAGAAAAAGAAAACGATTCGCCCCAGACATTATCTTCCTCCTGACGCATCTCGCCCTCGCGTAGGTCCCTGTATTTCACCGTCTCGTGCAGCTTTCCCCAGCGCTGCGCTCGCCTTCCACTTGCGCCGCCCGCGCTTGTCCTTGGCCTCATGCTTGCCGGCAACCAGCTCTCGCCGATGCATCCTTGGGCCGCCCGTGCTCGTCCTCGGCCTCATGCTCGCCGACAACACGCTCTCGCCGACGCATCCTTGGCTGCCCCACGCTCGTTCTCGACATCGTGTTCACCGGCAACCCACGCTCGCCGCCGCATCCTTGGGCGACCGTGCTTACCGGCCATGGCAACCCTGGTGGAGATGGCCGCAGCACCCCGTCGTCGAGCTCGCGCCATACCTCGCCCTCAATTTGCTGGTCACTACAAAATAAATCATAGGTCGTTGCAAAAAATTTAGACAGTTCCAGCAAAAAATCACTTCACCTCGCCAGTGATGCCCATCCCCTCCCTCGCCCTCCTGTAGAAACAAATGGCGACGACTCCGTGGTCTCGCAGCAAACGGCAGTTGTAGCAAAACTTGGGGCTGGTTCCAGCAAACCAAAAAAGGTAGTAGCAAATTTTTTGGAAATTAGACGGCGTCCCAACAAACCGAACCCTGGTGGTAGCAAAAATTGAAGCTTGTTCCAGCAAACCAGAACACCGGTGGTAGCAAAGATGCAAAGTTGAGGGCTGGTTCCAGCAAATCAAAAAGGCGATGGTAGCAAAAATCGACGCTGGTTCCAGCAAAATACAAAAGGGTGGTAGCAAAAAATACAAAAGACAACGCTAGTTTCAGTAAAACCAAAACGCCGATGGAAGCACAAATTTGTGCGGGTTCCAGCATCTGGCCACCATGGTGGTAGCAAAGATGCAAAGTCGAGGGCTGGTTCCAGCAAATCAAAAACGCGGTGGTAGCAAAAAATAACACTGGTTCCAGCAAAATACAAAACGGTGGTAGCAAAAACATACATAACAGCGCTAGTTTCAGCAAAAAAACAGAACGCCGATTGAAGCAAAAATTTGTGCGGATTCCAGCACCTGGCCGGCATGGTTGTAGCTCTTGCCAGCATCCACAGGCTGCCACTGTAGCTGGAAGCACCATACCTCCGCTCGACAGTCGTCCTCTACGCACCTCTGCATCTTCGTTTGTGCTCCTCCGGGGTCCCTCGCTCGCCACACACCTCTTCCGCCACCGGCGAGCTGTTTATTTGGAGGTAGACCACGGGAGGGAGAGGACGCGGGGAAAGAATGACTGTGGCTGGGAACGCGAGAGGATAGGAAAGAAAGGGTAAGGAAAAGGATCAGCTGGGGTCAGTAGATTAAAAGGCGGTGGGGTCAGCAGATATGGCCGCACACGGGCCAGACGATCTGCTGCAATCGAATGAACCGCGCGTGACCGGCGCAACGGTTCAGCCGGTGCCCCGGCCAGGAACGTTGCCCTTATTGCAAAGTT